TTTTTATTTGTGTAGGATTATTATGTTCATAATTTATATTCACGGCTGATGAAAACTAAGTGAAGTCGAAATGTTCCGTGAAATTTATATTTAGATTCAAATAAAATACTATCACACTGTATATATAGCTCGTTATAATTTATGACTTGAGTTAGTTTCTATATTTAATTGTGTGTAAGTTATACGAGCATTAACAGTGTCATTAATTATTAATTTTATTTTGTGATATCTTTGTTCAAAAAGTCTGAAAAAAATTTAGTATATTTAGTATTTTTTTTTAAGATATAAAAACACTTTAGGGGGAGTCCCGATTAAATTTCAAAAATTGTTAAAATACCACCTTAATATAATATATAAAGTGGAGCATTTTAATCGCCCCAGGCGAATTTCAAAAACTAAGAGAGATACAAGAAAAAGCTTTAGGTTTTCTTGAGGGAAAAAAGGTGGAAAAAACGGATTTTGGAATGGGAAAGGGGGGAAGGGGGAACACTATCAAGGTCAGGTTAAAATCAACGAATTTTTAAAATGAAATCCTCCATTTTTTATTGCATATTCTTGTAATATACCTCGAGAGTTTTCCAAAACACTATAATTAAATATTTTTTCATGAAGTACTTTTTGAGTTATAAGGCTTGAAAGTTATAGTACCGCCGACATCAGCATTACACAAGATGTCCAACGGCTCTCTTGAAAGTTATTCAAGATCATGTCCTGAATAATATTCATTAATATCAAGGTCAGTGGAGATTGTTTCTCTTATTTTCATTTTTATATAAAGATGAATTTTCAGTGCAAAAATGAAAAAAATAAGAGAAACAATCTCTAATAACCTTGATCTTAACAAATGTTATTTACATTTGTGTAATGCTAATGCCGGCGGTACTGTAACTTTCAAGCCTTATAACTCGCAAAGTACTTAATTAAAATTATTTTATTATATTGTTTTGAAAAGCTCTCGAGGTAATCTACAAGAATATGTAATGAAAAATGGGGAAATTCTATTAAAAAAATTTAAAGTTAACTTACCCTGCACGCCTCCCACGCACGCACGCACGCACGCACGCACGCACGCACGCACGCACGCACGCACGCACGCACGCAAGGTATCCCGAAAGACGCGAACAACGCTTAAGGGAAGATTCCTGAGATCATTTTGAGATGAAAATTCTAATATCAAAATGTTGAGGCTATAATAACTTTTGAATTACAAGCGTTTAAAATTAACGAATCATATTATCTAAAGTTGGCGCGCTTAAGGGCGACACAACGCAAAGTATTAAACTTGAAAACTGACTTATCTTGAGCAATCTGATCGCATGTAGTAAAATCAGATTGAGCAATCTTGACTTCTTTGAGGAATTGTTTTTTATTAATTAATGATTTATTAATTGTTCTTTATATTAATTGTAAATTTATTATTCATAATTAAAAATTTTATAATATTTGCACATAAGTTCCCAGTTTTTCCGGATTCTTTTAATAAAATGTTTAAAGTGCATTTGAGAATGAGTTTAAATTGAATATTAACAATAGTATATAATTCTACATAAAGAGCTACTAATTTCTGCTAGTTAAGATATGAAATTGATAGCAAATTGCTCAAAGAAGTCAAGATCAATCCGATTTTGCTATGCGTGACCAGATTGCTCACGATAAGTTTTCGAGTTTAGTACTTTGCATTGTGCCGTCCCTAAGCGCGTCAACTTTAGACGATATGTTTCATTAATTTTAAACGCTTATAATTCAAAAATTTTTATAGCCTCAACATTTTGGTATTAAAATTTTCGTCTCAAAATGATCTCGCCTTAAGCGTTGTTCGAGTCTTTATGGGATATCCTGTATATATAGATAAGAAAAATTTTTTTTTAATCGGCCTCTCAACTCAAAAGTTTCTATTAGGTTGGTGCAAAAATAATATCAGTTCTTATTGTTTTAAATTTTAGTACTTTACTGTACAATACCGTTACGTTCAACTATGTTCATGTATCATTTTCACACACGCGCGCGCGCGGACGTTCCGCTATATTCATTGTATTCATAATTTTGTTCTCGGTATTACTTTGTATTAAGTTACTATCATTATTGAAAATAAAAAAGAAACAATTCCGAGCAATTTTTTTATACGAGTTCAAACTAGGCTCTAAAACAGCAGAAAATTAATGAAGCATTTGGCCCGAAAATTACAAACAAACAGATAGTACAACGATGGTTTAAAAAATTTCGTAACGGAGATCAGAGATCTTGAAGATAAAAAGAGTCGCGGACGGCATATAACAATAGACAACGAACAAAGACAATCATTGAATTGGCTCCATAAAAATCACTCGAGAGGTTGCCCAGCAATTGAATGTTGATCAGTCAACAGTTGTTCGTTTAAAACAAATCGGAAAAGTAAAATAAATAAATGGATTCCTCACGAATTGAACGAAAATCAAAGAAATCATCGTTATGAAATCTGTTCTATTCTTATTCTGCGCAACAAAAATGATCCATTTTTTGATCGCATTATACCATGCGATGAAAAATGAATTCTTTACAACAGGCGACGATCTGCAATGATTGGATTATGATGAAAGACCAAAACACTTCTCTAAGCTAAAATTGCATCAGAAGATAATGGTGACCGTTTGGTGATGTTCAATAGAAATCATCCATTACAATTTCATAAAACTAGGCGAAACTATCACGTCACAGAATACTGCCTCGAAATTGACAAAATGCATCAGTGATTACATCAACGTCCAGCATTAGTCCATCGGAAGGGACCGATTCTGTTGCACGACAACGCTCGTTCACATGTTGCACAACCGACTCTGTAGAAACTGAACGAACTTGGCTACGAAATTTTGCCTTACCCAGCATACTCACCGAACTTCTCGTCAACCAACTATCACTTCTTCAAACATCTTGACCACTTCTTATAGGAAAAAATCTTCAATAACTAAGCTGCTGCTGAAAATACCTTCACAGAATTCATCGATTCTAGAACTCCAGAATTCTATGCTAATGGAATAAAGAAATTTGTATCTCGTTGGCAAAAATGTAGCTTCTAATAATTCTTACTTCGTATTCTAATAATTCTTAATAAAGTGTATTATGAATTTAGTAATGATATTTACTTTTTTGAAGTTGAAGATAAAAACCAACATTATTTTTGCACCAATCTAATATTTTATGCCAAAAAAAAAAACACCTCTAAATTTTTATCCAAAAATATTAAGATTTAGAAATCGCTAGTAAACGATTTTTAAATCAAAGTTTCGATTTTCCTTAATACATGTTTGATTTGATGCAAAAATGGCTTGATCTGGATTTTGTGGTATTATGTTTTTTTGGTCGCTTTTTTTGGTCGGATCGGAACATGATGCAACAATACATTTAGCTTTATGATATACGCCTTAAGAAATACAGCCAGATTAATGTGAAAAAAATGACCAAATTTTGAGTTCAAGGACGATTTTCGCAAGGTTCAAGCGTTCAAATGGGTCGTTAGTCAAATATAGATTAGGGAAAACAAGATCCAGTTGTAATTTTCCCGGGGCCTCTTACGAGGCCTTTAAAAATTGCATTTAACTAAATTATAAAACATTTTTAAGGATAGAAAAAATTTTTTTACAAGTTCTAAAGTATATCGTTTTGTGTGTGTTTTAACATCCAAATGCCTTAATTTGATAACACTCTTTATTAGAAAATTTCATAATCTAGTTAAATGCAATTTTTAAAGGTCTGTAGGAGGTCCCGGGAAAGTTCTAACTGAAAAGTGAATATATAATACAATATGATTTAATTAATTGAAATAACTACATAAAATGTAATTATTTTTTGATAAAAATTTAGGAGTGTTCTTTTAGCATGAAATAGAAGTTTTTGAATTGAGAGGCCAATTAAAAAAACATTTTTTACCTTGTCATTCTAATATATACAGGGTGTCCCTAAAATTCGGCATCACCCCCCATCCTGAGCAGGACTAAACTGAGTCGAAAAGTCCTCTATCATTTTGCAATTTTCGCAATGGTTAACGAGATATTAATTACTAAAAGTTGCTAAATATTCTTCAATAATTTTTTACTCAAATACTATCAATTTTACAGAAAAACTGCAAGAGACAAAAATTATTTATTTTCTTCTCATAGAATTCTACGAATTTTTTCAGAATTTTTTATCAACTTTTTAGTACTGCATTTTCTTATTTTTATCACGAGAAAATACGGTATTAAAAAATTCTGAAAAAATACTCAGAACTTTATGAGAAGAAAATAAACAATTTTTGTTCTCTTGCTGTTTTCTGTAAAGTTGATAGTATTTGTAAAAAATTATTTAAGAAAAATAAATTCAGCATTTTTTAGTAATTAGTATTTTGTTAACTATTGCGAAAATTGTAAAATGATAGAGGACTTTTCGATTCAGTTTAGTTCGCTCTATCTATACAAGAGTGCTTTGTTCAAATTTATCAGACACCCTGTATGTATGTATACAATACATTATCAATTTTTAAGCTTTATTCCTCCATTAAGAAAAAGAATTCTGACTTCTCTTCAGAATATTTACCGTAAAAATCTGCATATAATAGTATTTTTCAATGGCAGAACTAGTGCGCACTCAATGCATTTTAAAGCCGTTGTACATAAATCGAAGTAAAGATACATGTATGTTTAATAAAAATATAGAAACGAGTTAAACCGTGAAATCCTCAATACATTTTATTATATTATTTGATAAAATGTACTTTAGGCATTTTATCTAGATTATTCAGATGCTTCATTTTTACATTCAGAGAGTAGTGTACAACGGCTTTAAAATGCATTTAATGTGCACCGAGTGCATTTCTGCCAATGAAAAACGTTATAATTCTATTAATGTCAAGAAAAAAGTAATGAAAAAGTAACTAAAAAAATTCGTTACATTTTGTGTAACAATAATGGTAACGAGTTATTTTTGTAAATCAATAATAAGTAACGATAGTTACTCTTTAGGAAAAAGAACGGTAATGGTAACAGAGTTATTTTTATGAGGTAACATTGTCAACTCTGATATTTGGTTAAAGTGATTATTATGAACTAATATCCTGGAACAAAAATATTTATAAAATAAGTGATTCATCTTATTATATCGATAGTTTCAATTTCTCGACTTGTGCAACATGCATATAATAATCTATTAAACTTACGCTAAGTTTCAATTGATCCTTGAGCCATGTTAAATAAAACTGAAGATCAGTTTTCTCCATGAGATCGTGACTCCAGCAAGCCAACTTGGCTATAATACGCGATGTCATATTCATTATAAAGCCATCTTGTCTGTTCAACAAATTGAGGAATGGTCCCCAAACAGATTCTCGTTTGCGCGTGGAATGTTCGCGAAAGATTTCTACGCGACTACGGTCCTCCTATACATATAACAACTTCTGTTAATAAATGGAATTTTTATTGAAAATATTAAAATATGTTAACAAAAACAAAGTTTTATTTAATCTACTAAGTAAAACAATCAAAGATGGTATTATTTTATTCATCTCCAAAAAACTCAAGTTTTGGAGAGTTAAAAAATATGTATTAATACATATTTAATGAATATATGTATACTGAACAAACTGAACTTATGATTTTTGAGTATTTCTTTGTTTAATATTCAAATAAATGTTAATGTTAGTTCATCATTTTATTTGAATATGTAATTAAATAATAATAAATACAATGTAAATATTAAGTAAAAAAATATTAATAAATTTTACAAAAAAACCCAAAAATAAAAAACTAATAAACTCAATATAACTTCAATAAACTAGGCTTTTTTAAAAACATTCAGATTTTTTTGCTGAAAACAATAAGTGTATAGTTATACCTGTAACATATCATCAATCATTGTGAGAATATATTGAATCGTCTGATCTTTTGAAACATGACCGAGCAAATTGAGGAACGTTTTAGCTGCCTGATGTGAATTCTCTTTCAGTTTATTCTCCCTTGTTTTAGCATCGCTTGAGTCAAAGGCTGCTATAAAATCATAATCTTCCTTTGATATCATTTGTGATCTATAAACATCAAATGTTTTCAAATGTTCAAACATTTTTTGCATGGAAAATTCCGTATGCTGTTTGCTAGTATCCTCAAATTTAAATATTATCAAGTTATGATCAGAGTATATCCTAAAATTCTTAAACTGGACTTGTCAGATATAATTTAACACATATATTCATATATAATTACTTACTGAAAATAATTACTTACTGAAAATACGATTGCCAATTAATTCGTTGATTCCTAATATCGGCAGCTTGCTGCTGGAGCACACTTGTAGCTGCCAACATATCTGTAAAATCACACAAATCGTTATTTAAGTATTAAGCATAAAATATAAGAGCTAGTAAAATAAACTTCGAGTAAATAAGATACAAGCAAGCGTATGCAATTAGGATGATACAATTGTTAAATAGCCATAAAAATAAATTGCGTCGCTGGGAGGGGCACTGTCACACGGACGATTCTTCTTCATGTAGCGATCGTAATTACCAATTTTTTCGTCTGGCAATGCCGGAATCATCTGTTTGATACTGTTCGCACGGTCCACCATTATTGTCGATATTTTACGTCGATTCAAAAAATAATCTCACTTGGAAAGTCTAATACTTGTTTCTTCTTCTCGTTCTCCTTGTCTTCTTCAGCTGTTCGATCACAAGACCACACGAATATCAACTTGACGTAACAGAAATTATCTCGACGTCACGAATATCACTAGGTCTATTGACGTTGTATGAAGTCCCTAAATATTTTTGCACAAAATGAAATAAGGTTTGTCCGCATCGCACGCCCCAACATGTTAAAGGTAAAATCACATGGTGCGGAAAACGACTGCGGAATAGAGAATGCGTCATAGAAACACCCAATCAGCGTTCTTCTGCGCTATTCCGAATAGCGCTATGTGATTTTACCCTAAGGGTGAACCTTCCCATAAAATATAATTAACCCTTTCACCTACAAAATTGTGCGAGATTCGTGGTAAAGAAATCAGGCCAAACATGAGTATCACGGGTGAGAGCCGTAGTACGTCGTTCGTACAAAGCTTAATTTTTTTTTAATTTGTAAGAGAAAAGTATGGCAAAAGGTCAATAAAATTAAGTTTTACTAAAAAATTAAATCAAATTTTTTCGGAGACGCTATATTGTGTAAACTGTTATATTTGTATACGATAAAGTATTCTCGTAATAAAGTTTGAATGTGTGTGTGTGTGTGTGTGTGTGTGTGTGTGTGTGTGTGTGTGTGGGCGCGCGCGCGCGCATGCATACGTGCCCGCGTGTGTACATATATTATTAAATTACAATTTCACATTTAGTTACAATTTTCATGCAATGTACAATATATTTTTTCATACGTAATTATTCCATTACAATTTTCATATAGTATTTAATCAATTATTATTTTTAATTTACTTATTACTGTTTAATATTATTATTATTATTATTATTATTAATATAATTGAATATTATTTTTATATAATGAGTTCATTAACATTATATTATATTATTCTATAATTTTGATTTAAAAATATACTCACTATAAACAATTTTCATGACACAACCGAATTATATCTTTTTGTTTTAGAAAAATCATTTTGTAGCTTTATAAAAACTCAAATTTATAAGCACCTTTTTAATCCACACATGACGGCGAGTCATGTGACCTGAGACCCATTACATCAGACTACAAACCCATGCACCGAAATAGTGGAACGTGGAATGAGAACAAAACTAATAACGAGCATTCCGCAGTTTTCGTTACGCGGTTTCGAATCCCTTCATCTCCATGGAGCGCAATGTGCGTAAGCGGAATCAACAGGAAGTCCATAAATGACGTTTAAATATTGTATTTGTCATTCATTTTTTATTATCATGTATTTAAGTACAGAATTAAATGCATTTCTCATTGAAAATAATAATTAAAGATGTTAAAATTTGTGAAATTAGTCTTAATGTAACCTTTATGAAATAACGATTTATGATTGGTTGCGCAAAGTCTGCGATGCGCTCATTACGCTACATGAGCATTGGGAGTTCACGTTTCAACGTAACAAAACTGGGAATAACAACGTGGTGAATACAGAAATAAATTATTAGGTAATTAATCCAGAAGTAACGCGCGTGCGTTGTAATCTAACAAGATTGTTGTTAACAGACATTTTTGAGCATGAGGTTTAATAACAATTTTAATTTCTAACAAAGAAAGGAAATTTTCAAGATCGTTTGAAAAGTTCTAGAAGTTTTTAAATTACATGTTATATATTCGTTAATTTCGATATTCACTTTGAATTGGTATCTTTAATAATATATCAGTTACTTGTCATGATAATACATTATCAGATAATCATTTAAATTTTTAAAGGTTTACATTTTTGAGAATACGCTTTACGTATGTTTACTTTAAATTGGGACCTTGAATATATCAGTTACTTTTCATGGTAATATATATTGTTAGATAATATATTATCATATAATCATCGTTTACATTTTTAAAGGTTTACATTTTTGAGAATACGCTTTATGTACAAATTAGTTCGGTCCGTTTTTTTGTGTTCAAAATGCATTTATTTTAAAACAAAATGAATGAACAGATTAAACTATTGTCCATCGCTGGCTACTACTTTTTCCCATCTCTCAGGCAATTTTCGAATTCCATCTCGAAAAAATGACTCGTCTGTGGAGGCGATCCAATTTTGGAGCCAATTTTCGATTTCTGCGAAAGAAGTGAACCGGTGACTTGCCAAATCGTGCTGTATCCTTCGGAATAACCAGTAATCAGAAGGAGCAATGTCCGGAGAATACGGCGGGGGCGGTAAAACATCCCATTTGAAAGTTTCCAAATATTTTTTTACGACTTTTGCGACATGAGGCTGAGCGTTGTCATGAAGAAAAATAACTTTATCATGTCTTTGCTCGTATTCCGGCCGTTTTTCTCGCAATGCACGGCTCAAATGAATCAATTGTAACCGATACCGATCGTAATGGAATCACTAGGTTTCAGCAGCTCATAGTAAACAACACCCTTTTGGTC